ATATGCTCTTTTACATTAACAACCCAACACACACGCTTCCCGTATTAATGGAGGAGTTTGAAAACTATGGCCGAGCATCAGGGCTCAAATTGAACCTTACAAAATGCGAAATTCTACAAGTCCCGACCCCGTCACCGGATTGAGACCAGATCAAACGGACCTACCCCTTCACATGCTGTGAAGATCAGATGAAATACCTTGGCATATGGATCCCACGCAGACCGACAGAAATATACACAAGGAATTACACCCCGCTTCTTCAACAAATTCAAAGAGATCTGAAGACATGGAACCATGAGTACATCTCCTGGCAGGGGAGAATAGCGGTGGTGAAGATGAATATTCTGCCAAGACTCCTGTACTATTTCAACACCATACCATGGCATATACCACCAGACTTCTTCGCGACAATAAAATCAGCGATAGGCAGTTATGTCTGGAAAGGGTGCAAGGCGAGACTCAGCCACGATAAACTATGCCTACCCAAATCATGGGTCAGACTAGCACTGCACGACATACGAAAATACTACCATGCAACAGTTCTACAGAGGATCAGGGACTGGCACACAGCCCCAAACCACAAAAGATGGGCAGACCTAGACAGGGAAAGTATGTACGGTACCCTCCACTCACTAGTGTGGCACCAAGCTCGGGGAGAATCACTGCACACGAGCAAGACCTCACCCATCACACAAACACTAAAAACATGGGCTATAGTGAGAAAAGAATCCTATATCTCCCCACAACCGAGCCCATTGATCCCACTGACACATAACACAGACCTGGGTGGCGGCCTACCGAGTGGTGCATTGCCAGAAACTAATTGAGAAGCATATCTCCCTCTGAAGGAGGCACTACACAATGCAGGGTTAAAGAACCTACAGGAATGGACCGGAACCGAAACCCCCTCTCTCTCTCATGCACAGATTCCGCTATGCGCAACTCAGACATTTCTACTATAATATCCCGAACAGACAGGCAGTACATAGAGATACAACATGGTTCGAAAGCCTGTGCGTCGACACACCTGAAGCGGATGGGAGAGTCTCCATAATATACCAGAGAATACTGTCGGGTGACCGAGTCAGAAATATAGCGTTTAAGGGTCAATAGGAAGACCTCACGGGCAGGACATACAGTGACACACAATGGGAACAGATCCTCATACTGCAACATAAGAGTTCGATCAGCTCAAAATACCAGGAGGCCAATTTTAAACTGCTATCCCACTGGTACCGAACACCTGCGTTGCTACACAGAATATTCCCAGGGACCCCTGACACATGCTGGAGATGCGAGACCCACACGGGAACAGTACGACACATATGGTGGGACTGCCCTAAAATACGACCATACTGGGACCAAATCCGACAAGAACTGAACATGATCTTGGGAGACATACCAGACCTCAACATACAAGCCACCCTACTCCACTTCACGGACCAATCAGTAGCACAATATAAGAGATCAATTCTGAGACATCTACTCAATGCGGCTAAAGCCCTAATCCCAACGCTATGGAAAAGCACACAACCACCCACGATTGCGCAATGGAAAGTTGAGGAAATTCACACAGCGGAGGCAAAGAACGCGGACTTACAAGGGAGAAGCACCAAACACGTAGATTTATGGAGGCCATGGTACATGTACCTAACACGTCCATGAGCACAGGAAGGGAGGGGGGGAGATACAGGGGACACCGAGACGCACATGAACAATATTTAACCTACACAAGCAACCTCCCTCCTTGGGACCTCCCCCACCCCTTTTTTTTTTATATTGGAAAAAGCAATATATATATCAATCATCTAGGGTGGTAAGACATAGCCTTACATATTACATGCGACAATATATGGCGCAATGACTTATGGGGCTGGCATAGATTTTTTTTCCAGGGCTGCTTTGAAATCCCCAGTCCGGCCCTGAGGCTACCACCAGAGAAGCGGAGCAATACCCTGAGACCCTAAACCCGATCCACACGCAGACCTACGACACAAGAGAATTGACTACACTGACAATCACCGAGACTGAGACGATAGCAAAACTCAGAAATACAATCCTAGGCTTATGTAAGAGCGTATTGAAACACATTCCTGCACTTT